AGCGGAAGATAAACTGGAAAGCCGGCCCAACGCCACGCGTCCAGTGTCGAAACGAGAGAAAGAAGGAAGGTTGCACCTCGCTCCACTACTCTCGACATGCACGAGAGACAAAAATCATGGCGGTGTATCGCTCCAAGTTGTAGCGGAAGACTCACTCTTGTTTTGCGCATTTCGAGAGTACCGTCATCCCCCGAACACAACGCACCCTCATTTTGGCTGTAACTGGCCGGAAGTACAGCTTGTATACATTCATTTTTAGGGTGCGTTATGTTCGGGGGAAGACGGTAGTGGAAGAGAGACCCTTTGGAATGCCATTTTATAGTTTTTCCATCCACTTGCAGATCATGCACCTGCCCTTTGTCTCGCTGTAGGGAAAATACTGGGATATTCGGTAGAAGGCGCCCTTTTATTTTTTAAAGGTAATCTATATTCTTCTCTCAATCTATTTCATCTTTCTTGGTAGTACGCATCTATCTCATCCTCTCACTAGTCTATTTATAGTACGGGGAACACCAACCAACCCGGATCTCTCCCCAGCCCACGGGGTAGCTTTGCGCCACAGCTGAGGTGCGAGAGAAAGGCTGTACAAGTCCCTCATCACGGTGACGAGGGGTGGGTAGGCATTGCCGATGGGGGAAATAGGCTGTGCTAGCGCCGAGCAATGGCCAGTCACTGCACCTCCCCCTAGCCCCCCCAACCCCACATGGCGGTGTCCAATGGCCAATATTGTCGCTGCATAGCAGCCAACAACATTAGCCAAGGTCCTGCCAATGCTGGCACGCCAAAACCCTTTTTTTTTTTTTTTTTCTTACGCCAAAACCTTTTCGGTTTTGGGCGCAGAAAGTTTAGCCGTGTGGTACTACCGGCCCAATGACTTGCATGTGGGGTACTACAGGCCCACGGGTGGCTCCAAGGGCCCTACCGGATCATGAATCTTGCTGATAACAGAGCCAGATTCACTTTTATGTAAAAGAGGCCAGCCGTGGTAACGGTGAAGTAATCGAATGAGGCCCACGTACGCCACTTTGAAAAAGAAGGGCCCTACCGGTTCACAACCGGTTCATGAATCTGGCGAAGAAACAGCGCCAGGAAACATACTCCTAAAAGCGACAAGCACGTGAGAAGATCCCTTCTTACCGTTTTTCCATCGACTTGCAGATCATGCACCTGCCCTTTGTGATGGAAGCAGGGAAGCCACTCCTTCGCGGCAGGGAACATACTTCTCCTCAAAGCGACAAGCACGTGAGAGGTGTCCTTTTTTTTTCATTTTCGTTTTGCCCCTTCAAAATCCCTTTATTTCCGGCATGCCCCTCCGACGGCCGACTTACCCTCTCGTTCTCCTCTGCGACGATCCGGAGTCGGTTGGACCTGAAATTTGTTCAAAATGCCCCTACTGCCGATGGTAACGGTTCCAACCGGATTGCCGTTGAGTACAAGGCGAAAAAAATCCATATGCCCGTACGCTACCTTGCAACTGTCCAGTATGCGCGTACATCTTTTGCAATCAGACTCGCCTTCATTCACACTTCACATGTATTGAAACAGGTTGCGCCCACTCAGAACTCAGAGATATGGTGCCAAGAACTCAGTTCAGATACAAGTTCACTTCCACTGGCTATGGCGGCACCTCGCCTGTACAACTCTCTGTCGTCACTGACTGGACACTGCTGTTCGCACACAGGATCACCCTGGATACGCCACACACCACACACTCTGTACACTCTCACACACACACTGCACTTCACTACCAGCTATGGCAGCTATGGCCGTTTCTACTCTATGGCTATGGCTACACTACACTCTGTCAGCCCACTTCAACTTCGGGCCCATCTGCAGACCACCTCGCACAAGCCGATGTTGGCAGCGCTTCCGCATGGCTTGCGCAGGAATGAATGAATGGCTGCGCGCTGCCTCTTGATTTATACTTCTGTGACTGGCTGGTCTGCCCTTTTCCATCGGCCTGTGGTACACACAGTCCCTCATGGTACTTGCTGGACTGGACTGGGACTGACTGCACCGGTACTGCTGGCTGCATGGGTTTGCACCGCAGTTGGCTCCACTTGCTTCTGTCTAAATGTGAGCTCACTCCGAAAGGCCACTTCCGGGACCTTAAGGCCACTGTAGCAGCTACGACCTTGACCTTTCAGGACTGTAGCAGCTACGACCTTGACCTTTCAGGACTGTAGCAGCTACGACCTTGACCTTTCAGAATACCTGTAGTTACAACTTCTACAGAGCTGCGACTCCAACTTCACAGATCTACAGATCGAACCCCTACCAGGACACAGACCTATGACAGACAAACAACAACTAACAAAACGCAGGTCACGGGTTCAAACACTTGGGTCGACACAGATACTGTACACAGGTAAGGTGAGAACTAGGGATCGAGCCCTGAGATCTGCATTTGCTACTGCTACAAGGTGAAAACCCTTTCATCTTTCCCGTATGCCCCCTGCGACCGTTGCACTCACGGCTGTCCCTTGGCCCTGGGAGGACGATTACAAGGGCATATCGGAAGTTTCAATTTGTCATATAGCCCAACTTTCTGCCGTGCCCTCAATTCGATGGAAATCTCTCTCTCTCTCTCTCTCCTCTCTCTCTCTCTCTCTCTCTCTCTCTCTCTCTCTCTCTCTCTCTCTCTCTCTCTCTCTCTCTCTCTCTGTGT